CTTACCTTAGCTTCTTTTAAAACAGATGCTAATCCTTTACGTTCAAGGAGATTCAGGTTTGTGAAGAGTCCCAACAGTGCCAGGCACAGAGCAGGCACCTGGGTCAGTGCTGGCTCTTGAATTCAAGCAGTTCTAAGCGACATCCCCCTGCCAGACCCTCAGCAATAGGAGTGGGTGGGTGTCAGCTACAAGCAGGGACTCGATCTGAAGGCGTGAGCCAGCTCCTTAGGACATCCCATCGTCCCTCCCCAGAACCCCAGACAAGCTTCACAGACAGATGCCATGTGCAGGATTCACATTTATTGGTTCAAATACAGTACCTAACATCTTCTAGACATGCATTTCACACTAATTGGTCACATTTCCACAGGTAGTCAACTCACAGAAAAGGGCCCATCCCTTGCCAGCTGGCAGGGGGGGAGGTAGCAGAGGGCCTGAGTAACCTGCAGAGCCCGACTATCATTTGGTCATGCAGGGCTGACGGAGCCAGGCTGGCAGGCAGCCCTTGGCCGGCCCTTTGGGGACAAGGGCTCAGAGACATCCGGTTTACTTGATTCCTACACGGACTGTGGGTAGAGGTGGCCCTGGGATAGGTAGCCCAGGGTCGGCTTGTGGATGCCCGTGCCACCAGAGCCTGGCGGGAGGGTGGTGCTTCCTGTGCCCTGGATTGTAGAAAGGAAACGGAGGCCTCTTCAAGAGGTGGCTGGTCCCAGCTGGGCAGGTGTGAAGGACTCCCTACACTCGGCCCAGACATTACAACGCACCCACAGCCCCTATCGCAGGCCTGGGATGGCAACACAGACAAAAACACCAACACCCCAGGGCAGGCAGGGTTTCTCTCCCGACAGAAACATGTAAACAGAGCAGGAGCTACAGTATTCGTTTCCCACAGGGCTTCTCGGAGAGGAATCGACCAGGATGTCACTGAAGAGGTAGTATTTTTTTTCTTTTTCATGGAAACTTGAGTCAACAACATTATCACCTTATAAAACATTTCAGAGAAAGAAAACAATGCTCACCCAAGGGCAGAAATGACCTGGTGACAGACTGGCCATCCTGGCAAGGCTGGCTGCAGGACTGGGCAGACCAGCCTCCACCAGAAACACAGCTTTTTTCTGGAGCTTGGAGCAGGCTCTGGCCTGACTCACAGCTTCCCTGAGCCTGCAGCTGAGTCCTGAGTGGGCTGTGGCCCATTTAGGGCTGCAGATCCTGGGGGGGCAGGCCAGACAGGGGCTGGACGGGCAGAGCAGGGCCCCTGTGGCTCGTGTTCCAGGACAGCCAGAGTCTTCAGGCCTCGAGATAGCCTAGGCACGGCCAGAGCAAGCCCAGCTCGCTCCGACTCAGTATGCTCATGGGCTCCTGCCTCTGAGGAAGCAGTCCACGCCTGGCTCCCAAGTCCAGAAAAGCTGCTGTTGGTGGCAGCCAAGAGAGGGGTTTCTGGGGACCCTGTAATTAAATACACATCCCTGAGCTGTGGCCCTAGAAACCCTTGTCTCAAGGCTAACCAGTTTCCAGCATCTGGTGGAATGATTGCCGTTTCTCAACCTGAGACACAGATAAAACATCATTTCACAGACACTGGACATAGATGCTTCAAGCCGAGGAAAAAGGGAGGAATGATCAACTGCAAAGGCAGAGGGGGGTGCAGGGGGACACTCATGGGTCAATTTGGGGAAAGAGTAGTGGTTTTTTTTGTTTAGTTTTTTGTTTTTGAGGGTTTTTTTTGTGTTTTTTTTTTACTTTAAAAAAATCAATAAAGAAAATAAAAGAGCTGGTCTGAAAGAGTGGATTTCTTAATGCAACTGCAAAATTTTAAAAAGCAACCAAGAAAAAAGACATAGACCAGGGGCCCAGAGCTAAAGACTTGGAACCACTGCTCCCCTTCCTGCCCTACTGGGAGGCCAGGGTCCCTTTACTTTGGCCAACCTTGGACATGGCGGAGATGTTGCCCACGCTGGGCCTGTCTGTCTCCATCTGTCCCACTCCCCAGGAAATCAAGAACAAACTAAAGTAAGAAATAGGTAGCAGAGCAAGGCAGCTAGCTGAGAGCCCCAGGGTTAAGGACCGGGTGACACAGTGGCCCTGGCAGGCACTCACTCCCCTGAGAAGGGGTGGCAGGTGAGAGCAGGCTGGTGTGGAGTGGGTGGCTGTCTGCATGCCATGAAGCCCCTCGTTCCCTCCCTCTCCTCCAGCCCCGAGAACAGGAGGGAGGTTCCTGCTGCTGCTTTCTATCCCCACAGGCTCAGCCACCTCCCTCCTGGGCTGGGCATGGGGGTGGGGGCTGTCCTTCTGAGCCAGGTGGAGTGCTTTGAGACTAAAGTCAAGACCACCAAACCGTGTGAAAGTCTCCAAAAGCCTACAAAGGAGCCAGAGAACAGGAGTTGTAGGTGAAGTTCCAAGATTCCAAATTTCGTCTTGGGTCAGGAAAACATTGAAAGGGAAAGAAAGGGGAAAGCCGTGTTTCAATGCAGTGCGAGGAGGTGGGATTCTCCTTGACCACACAGCTTTCAGGGTCATATTTTTATGGTGGAAAAATTCTCACTGAAAATGAGTGCTGTTGGTGGCAGGGGATCAGAGAGAGGACAGAAGAGAGGGGAATTAAGAGACCATACACACAACTTTTTCTTCTTCCACTAGCAAAAAGGCTACCCGTTAACCAAAAATTATGGGAAGAAAGGCAAAAATACAAACACAACAAACCGCCCCTCCAACCTTTCTCTGTGTCCTTCAAACCAAATTTACAAATACATTTAGTGGCTGACCTAACGTCTCCACGCTGCTAGCTACACTCCTACCATCTCCTCATCATACCTGAGTTTGCAATGCAACACATTAATTTTACCCTGTTTAAAAAAACCCACGTCACAAAAGGACTGGGTGCAGAAGACATTAAAGGCGGTCCACAGGTCAGGCTCTGGCTCAGAACACACGGCCACTTGGCTCAGAGATTCTGCAGGGCGCTCGGCAATGAATGGGCTCTTTGTTCTGTGGAATCTGCTGCAAACATTTGTAAAAATGGATTTGTACAATGGCAACTTGCAGAATCTTTCCCCCACTCCACAAATTAACAACTTGCTCTGTTTAATGCCGCATTATTGGAGAGACATGTTCTTCCCTCATCAGAGAGCAATTTTCTTTGATACCCAACCAACTGGTAAAATGCTTAATTTTAAAGAGAAGCCATTTCAAAAATAATAATAACTTGACAGATGGAGGTCTAAGCAAAGAAAGAAGCTGCACACAGCAGCCATCTTGGAAAAGGGGGGTCTCTGATATGTGTCTCCTCCCTACGTTGACGAAAGCAGCTCAGAGTCTGACCTGTAGCCAAAGAATGTGATCTAGTTGGTTAAATAAAACATGGGGAAACAAAAATATTGTGAACTGAGAAATAAACAGACACACACACACACACACACACACACACACACACACACACATCTTCCCATTGACATGTGAAAACATTCTGATCAGAGCTTTTCCAGAGGAACACATCTTTCTTTCTCAGAGCAGTCAGGGAAAGGGCATTGAGGAGTACTGCTCTGAGTTTTAGATCCACCAAAGGACAAAGTCATCCCTCTGCTGGGTACCCGTAACATTTCACTGGAAAGAAAAATTACAATCCGACATAGACTCCCCGGGCTGCACACGATGTGGTGGCCCACTGGGCAAGTTTGCGAGGCTGAGCTGGGAAGAGAGCAAATGGCCTTTGACTACACAGGCAAAAGGAGGTGCAGGAGGCCCTGCAAGCCCACCAGGGATGCACCCCTCTCAGTAGTCAGTCTGCTGCATCAGCTGTGCGAGGTCCCTGGGTGGAGGCAGGGACAATTGCTGTGGGAAGGCAGAGAAGAGAAAAGCACCTGAAAGAGTTCCAACAGCTATGGGGTGGCTGCTGGCCAAAGCCAAGAGGGGAAGGGACACTTCCTGGGACCAGGTGGGGCAGGTAGTGAAAGAACAAGGGCCCAGGCCATAATCTGGAGGGGACAGCCCTTAAGAACATGAGGTAGTTTAAAGCCCTCCTTCCCCTCCAGGCCTTGGTCAGCTGGGCCACTCTGGGCCTTGGGCTTTCTGTTGAGGAATCCTGGTCTCATTCTGGAGATTAGAAGAACTTGGAGTGGAATGTAAGGGCAAAAATTCTGGTGGGTGAATGGCCCTCCACTGATGAAAAAAGAGACTGCAGGTTTGGGATTCAGTCCTGGGGTGGGAAAGGGGGAGAAACAGAGCACTCCAAAGGAGGAGTGTTTATTCTTTTAGCAGTCTGAACTTTGTTCCACTACCCCTTGAAGAAAGCAAGGTGACAGGAAAATGCATCAGTAGTGGGCACCAGAATTCAGAGCATGGCATTCTGCTTAGCTGTTTTTTTCAGAGGGCCAATAGGAAGTCAAACGTATAAGGGAGGCAAGGAGTCGAAGGAAGGTAGGCCTTGGTAGATCCAGGTAAGGAAGCTAGGTAGCTGGGAGTCCCAGCGGAGCTGGCAGGCAAGTCCAAAGGATGACGTGATTGCCAGGACTCTGCTTGGATGAAGTCAGCAGTGGCAGTGGTGGTTCAGGTGGTGGGCAGGGGGCCCCACAACATGGTGTGAGAGCAGAAACCCTTCTCCCTGAGGCCTTGTGTGGAGAGAGGACACCTAACTTAAGATTTGGTTGCTGTGCCCCACTCTCAATTTTCATGCTTTCCAAAGGAAAGAGATGTTCTACATCCTCCTCTCCTGCCTGGGGCCCCCACTTTGCTCAGAGAACCTCCTGGCACCACTTTGCCCTTTTATGGTGTGTGCTTTCACCTGGCAATTCTGTGGCTAGAAAAAGGCAGTTTGCTCTCTGACAGACAAATGCACGAGTCTGCTGAGAACATGTGGAAAGAGGAGGCATGGTCACACCCCTCCCTTTCCACTGAGGTAGTCGTCTTTGTCAACATTATGGAAATAGTCATCTCAGCCCATCCCACCCGCCCTCAAATTACAAAAGAACTATCTCTAAACAATGACAACACTGTTACATTAAACATCTTCACATTCTGTAAACTGCAAGGAAATGCATCGGCTGCATTCACACAAAAGCATGTGCATCATGTTGAAGGCCATACATTCAACTCTGTCGTGAAATAAATATATAGAAAAATGAGCTTAAAAAAACAGACAAACAAACAAACACTCTTCTTGCTATGGAGGCAACCGGAACGCTGCTGCCCCCGTAGCCTCCACCTTGGTCTCTCTGGCTCTTTCTTCTGGAGCCTGTCCCGCCCACCCAAGGCTTTGTGGCTGGCCTGAGGAGGGGTGCCGGGAACGGCTCACTCCTTGCTCACACTTGTCTTGCAGGAATGCAGCACCACCTTAAAGAGGAGGGGCAGCTGCTCCAAGGGCACATTCACCATTTTTCCTGGGGACAAAGCGGGAAGAGAAGAGTTAGCAGTGGCCGCTAGTGGAAGAGCATGTCCCTCGAGTTGGGCTGAAGAGCAGATGTGGCCTTTTTGAGTGACTGGGGCAAGGAAAGTACAAGGAGTATCACAAAGACACAGACTGGCTAACATCCTGATACCCAGGCCCATTTTAGGGCCCGAGGTGAAAGTTATAATCATTGCTATTATCCAGGGAATACTTACTCTATGCTGGGTGTTTAAATGCATCATTTCACTTAATTCTCACGCTATTTCTGTGCGACAGATATTACCTTTTATCCCTATTTTACAGATGAGGAATCTGAAACTGAGAGGGATTCCTAGATGTCCTCTTAAAGCCAAAATACCACGAGAAACTTAGATCCTGTTTTCTCTTTTTTCCTGATGGACGCTATCATTCTATAAAAATTGCTCTTCAGAGTAGTATAACGGGTTAGTAAAAGTACTGAGAAATCCAGGGTTAAAAAGGACCTACAGGTTTCGTTACTGGAGGCCTTCTCAGAGCACTCGGTGTGCTAATGTACACTATAAATATTGGGCTGTGGTTCTCCTGGACGCACCGAGAGTCACCTGAGGAGTTAAAAATACTGATGCCCAGGCCCCCTCATACCCACTGAATCAGGCTCTCTGGCAGTGTAACCCAAGCTTGGGTATGTCCTAAAAGCTGCCCGCTGAGCCCAAGTGCTGCCAGGGCTGAGAAGCCGGCTCTGTGGGGAGGGGGGTAATTACTATTCTCCGTTTATTTAAGAGAGCGCCTGATGAATATCTCATTTGGTAGAATATCACTTTGAAAATGCTGAGACATAAATATCAACACATCCTTAAAATTCTAACAGCTGAGCTCCAGTTCACATCTATAGATTACTCTGGGCCCAAAAAGTAGAATAATTTCTACTAAAAAAGTAGAATAATGTCAAACTGAAAAATTTTCCCTTCAAACTGGTACTGCTGAAGGTGACAGGAGCAAGCTCTGTTTAGAGCTCCACTTCTGAGCACCCCCAGTCAGTGTTGGTGACTACAAACAACAATCTCTACCAATGAAGCCGAGCAGCAATGACAACCAAAACCAGGTCTTTACAGCTCAATGGCCTATTTAAATATCAAACTCAGCAAGGTAAGACCACAAAACACCAACAAAAATTCCTTTACAAACACAGGATTTGAAAATTATTTTAAAGATATTTGCTTTAAATGAATGATCCCCTAAAAACCTATAGGCAATTCTATGAAACAAAGTTAATGTTTAAAATCGAGATATAATTAATTCACATAAAATCCACCCTTTCACAGCTTACAATCCAGAAACAGTTAATTTGAGAAACTCCGAGTCATAATATCACCAACCACCAGCCTTGCAGAGCGTGTTCTGAGGTTCAGTGATAAAGGCCACAAAGCACCCTGCACAGCATAGGTGTGAGGAAATGCTAGACCCTCCTCCCTACAGAGAAAACTCGTGCTTCTCGTTATATCGCGGACTGAAACCGAGGGCAAGGGTAGTACTGCTTTTATGCAGTTGGTCTTGGGCCTGGAATGAGGATCTGAAAACACTGCTTGTCTCATTCTCGTCACAAGCTAAGAGAAGCAAGGAAGGGTTGGAAAGCCAGCACCCAGAATGTTACCTGCAATATACCGAATCTCAGGTAAGCACATCATGAGGTCAGGAAAGCGGTTCGGCTGATGTGTGTATTTATATTCAGTGAAATCCTGGCAGATGTACCAGTATCGCTTGTTCAGCTGTTCCAGCTGTGAGGCACTGGTCAGACCCCTGATATCTGGGAAGAGAACCACACAGGATATGAGAGAGTTTTCTAATGTGGAGGAAATACCAACTCCTTGAATAGATACATATTTCAGTTAGAAGTTATTAAACATTGCCACATAGAGGATCTGTTCTCTTTCTGACATGGAGGAACAAATGAGGGGAGAGAAGCAGATAAAGAATAAAAAATATAGAGGACAATCACTAGACTGAGCCCCCTGAGAACTAAGTGGTATCTTTCTCAACTTCATACCTGGCTTCCCAGTACAGGGCTTGACACAAATAGGCACCAGTTGATGCTGAACCACTCAATATCTGACAATCTACCTTTCCTAATTTATCCTTCACAGTATCTTTAAATTTTGCCCTTTGATGGAGCCAATCAGGAACTTTGATGACACCTAGACATTCATGCTTGTACATATACTCACATGGTCTCCTGGGTTTCTGCTCATACTACTCTAGATAGAGTTCTCTCTCATTACTTTAAACACACACACCTAACCCCTTTTTTATATATAGATATCCTATATAATATATGGATATCCTATATAATAAAAGGGTAATATGCAAATTGACCCTAACAACAGAACAACTGGTCGCTATGACGCACACTGATCACCAGGGGGCAGACATTCAATGCAGGAGCTGCCCCCTGGTGGTCAGTGCGCTCCTACAGGGGGAGCGCTGCTCAGCCAGAAGCTGGGCTCCCGGACTGCGAGAGGGCGAAGGCTGGGCTGAGGGACCCCCGCACCCTGAGTGCATGAATTTCATGCACCGGGCCTCTAGTTCTACATATAAATCCTTCCCAGCCTTTGAGGCCCAACTAGAATTCTCCTCCTCCAAGTAGGTGCTACTTCTCTCCCCCAATCTGAGGCTCCAGTAATGTGTCACATGCCATCAGAGTATATTCTGAAGCCAGGAACCTGGAATCTATTTTATTTTTCAATGTCTTTAATGGTCACCACAGGGCCCGGCCTCTGCGGGGCACACAGATCAATGTATGAATGGTGCAGAAGCAGGAGGAGGTGTTGGGGCGGGGGGAAGTAAGCAAAGAGGAGGGCTGAGAATCTCTGGACGGGGCAACTGACTACAGAACAGAGCACTTCAATGTCACAGGCAGCAAAAGAGCCCAGCTCTACTCAGAGCAGAGCACTCGCACGCTGCTTTGGAAAAAAGAGAACACAAATTCTCCTTTGTACTCTGGTTACCAGCAGCTACCAAGCCACACTTAGCAGGTAATACTCCACGTTAATCACATCCAGCACACTTCTAGTTAAAAGCCATGCTTGATATGCGTGTGTGAGCTTTGGTGAACCCCACTCTGCCCTGAAGGGGACTCAAGCATGCCAGCCTGTCGCAGAGGCCTTATCTCCAATAGGTTCATCAGTCACTCTGCTCTTCTTCAGTCACTGGCAAACTTGGTACATATTTTAAATGACGCATGTACTGTCCTTGGTGTCTGCATTGAATGCATTGAAAATGACTAAACAAAGCGAATCCTCTTCCTTCAGCTATGAGTTATAGAGACTGTGGCATTTAGGCTTGAAGAAAAAACCCAAAGCATGCCCTGCACTACAGAGGGGCACAATGCTGATAGGCCCTCTAAGACTGGTACCCATAAGGGGTGTCACATTCTGTGTGACAGTCCTGAGGGGAAAGGGGGGCATGAAACGTAAGGGAAAATGTTCACTGGCAAAAAAAAAAAAAAAAAAAAGGGCCCCTTCTTCCCACACCCAAGCACTCACCTTGATTTAAGAAGTTAATTGCTTTCATGCAAGCATACTCCTCATTGCTGACCTTTAGCTGATGGAACTTGTGATACAGGTAGATGAGCCGCTCGATCACCTCCATCCCTTCATCACTGAATCTGGGGAACAGACACAGGTGTTAACAGTGGGCTCTGATGCCAGCAGAGGTCAGGCCGGGGAAGGCAGGTTTCTGACAGCTCTGTAAGGCATCTGACATAGGAAAGAGGCTGAGCTCGGGAGAAATGGAATCCAGAACTATTAGTGAAGAACAGGGGATCCCTGGTTTGTCTAGAGGCCACGCAAGGCAGCTCATACAAGCTGTTATTCCTAAAGTCAGATAGGGTCGATCAAATCTAAATCCAGTTCCATCATGTAAAAGCTACGAGACCTTGACCTGGCCGGGTGACTCAGTTACTTGGAGCGTCATCCTGTACACCAAGCATGTCAAACTCAAAGGCTAACATGGCCAAATAAACAAGGTTTAAGTTTATGTGGGCCACAAAAAAACAAAAGCTTCAATTTTCATAGAAACGTAGGTTTATTTCAATAGAGACATGCTGAATACAAAGGGCTGAAATAAATAATTGTTAACATAAAATAATAGAACATTTTAATAAAAATTAATATTTTTCTTGAACATTAACTTACCAGACACTAAATAACTGCACAAATTAATAAGTGTAACACAAATAAATCTATTTTTCTTGTTCTCTGAAAGCGAAGTATTTCCTGTTGTGCACACCAAACAAGTCAGTACAAGACTAATGATGTGGCAATTGGCTGCTAGTATTAGTGGAGAGAAATGGTGCGCCTGCGCATAAAGGCACGTAAGGAAAATGAATGCAACACGATTATTAGTAATCAGTCATTAGCCAATGTTGTAGTTCGTTATTAATAATTATGTATAACGATATTGTAAAAATTAAGTTATGAAATTTTTTTTTCTTTAAAAATAATTTATTCATTTTCTGATCACAAGGTACAGGAACGTGCAAGTGCGATGCCTGAGACTGGCTGCCGTCCTGTCTGTGCATCTGTAAATCCCTCTGTACAATACCAGGTCCATCCTGCCCCCAAGCATTTGCTACATCCTAACAGCTGCAGTCTAGTATCATGTGGGAAGTTTAGAGAGTTTTCCAGCTTATAAATCCTGAAAGGGAACTAGCTGTTCCAGCTGCTCATTTCCTAAAACTCTGAGTAGGTCACAGGCAAATTATGCCCAACTGACAGGGCCATGTAAAGCTTTTAAAAGGCCTTTCTTAAATAGCAGTGACTAAGGTTCCTTCTGTGTCCCCAGCCTTCTAAGGCCCAAGGTAAGGTGCCTGTGACCCCGGAACAGCCCCTGGGGTTCCCCACATCCTAGGGCGGCGATGGAGGAAGGGCAGGCCAGGCCAAGCATGAGGAATAACAGCCAATTTTATTGGGCTCAGACCAGGAGTCCATGGGTCTTGAGGACCTCTGTGAATTTGTTAATTTTCTTCTCCACATTCTTTTCGGCCTGTTTCCGTAGCCTCATGAGCTGCTTTTTCTTGCGGTAATGGATCTTGGCTTTCTCCTTCCTCTTCTCCTTCAGGGTGGCTATGAAGGCCTGGTACTTCCAGCCAATCTCATGAGCCAGGCGCCCAAGGTAGGCAAACTTCCGGGTAGGCTTCAGACGCACAACCTTGAGGGCGGTGGGAACCACCATTCGCTTTTTCTTGTCATAGGGCAGTGGGATCCCGTCAAACACCTTGAGGCGGTCCAAGGCGGCCTGGCCTCGCTTGGTCTTGTGCGGCAGTATGCCTCGCACCGTCTGCCAAAAGATGCGGCTGGGGGCTCGGAAGTGGTAAGGGCCGCGGGATGGGTTGGTGTTCATCCGTTTGCGCAGGAAGGCCAGGTACTTCAACTTGTTTCTGTAGAAATTGCCAGAAATGTTGATGCCCTCACAGCGCACAACCACCACCTTGCGGCCCAGCAGTACCTGCTTGGCCACGATGGCCGCCAGGCGGCCCAGGAGATGGCCTCGGCCATCAAGCACCAGGACCTGCCCCTCTGCCATCTTCGGCAGCCGCCTGGGAAAGCTGAAATTTTTATTAAAACGTTTCTTATATATCGTTACATTGGCTGGGCCGCAAAAATATTTGTTGTGGGCTGCAAGCGGCCAGCAGGCTGCGAGTTTGACATGCATGCTGTACACCAAAAGGTTGTGAATTCAATTCCTAGTCAGGGCACATACCTAGGTTGCAGGTTTGATCCTTCGTTGGGGCATGTATGGCAAACAACCAATAATGTTTCTCTCTCACACTGATATTTCCCTCTCTCTCTCTCCCTGCCTCTCTCTAAAATCAATAAAAGCATATCCTCAGGTGAGGATTAAAAAAAAAAAGCTCTGACCCTTAGAAAGTAATTTGACCCCTCTAAACTTTGAGGTCCTCCTCTGTACAATAATCGTGCATGCCTGCTCAGGTAACAAGGGACAAAGGAGTTTGGGATGTAAGTGTGGAGAAATGACATCATTAATATACTGCTACTGTTGAGATGCAGCTTCAGTTTCAGTGGCAGCTGCCTTGTACTCTATGCGAGCCTCAGCCACAATGTAGAAAAAGCTGCTGAGTGTATTAATGTAGGTTCACTGTTTCCAGCAGGGCTGAGGGTATGCACAGTGACATGTTTTACTGGCATCCTTGACTTCAGCTAGGGAGGGAGGGAAGCGTTAACTGAGCCTCCGTGCCAGGCCAGTCTGTGCTAGCACTTTGTGTGCATTATCTCATTTAACTTTCTCAGGCCCACAGGTGAGATGAGATTATCATCACCCCTGTACAGATAAGAAACTGAAGTTCAAAGAATAGAGGGGACTGGTCCACAGCATGCAGCTAGATGGTGGCAGAACTAGAACTTGGAACCAGGACCAATTTCCCAAGGCCTTGGTTTTTCAGGTATCTAAGGTGACATCCACTAGCAGAGAAGACTCAAAACTCCTTTCTTTACATTAAGCGTAAGCTCCCTGAGGAATGACCAAGTTTTAGGCAAAGGAGAGCCAGGATAGGGGACTAATACCCTGGTCATAGAGGGAAATATATATATTTATATGCCTAAGTGACCTTTACGACTGGTCACTATGACGCGCACTGACTACCAGGGGGCAGACGCTCAATGCAAGAGCTGCCCCCCTGGTGGTCAGTGCGCTCCCACAGCCAACCTCCCCTGGTTCTTCCCCCTGCTGGCCAGCCCTGATTGGGACTGGGCGAGTTGGCTGAGGAACCACACCAGTGCAAGAATTCGTGCACTGGGCCCCTAGTGTCTCATAACAGCGATGGAAATATCACCAAACCAAGGAAGGGAAGGCTTAATGGGAAAGCCAGTGTTTATGAAAGCTGGGGTCAGGCCAGCCTCCACCCTTCTAGGGGTGGGCTGGACTGTCCTTCTAGGAGCATTCCAGACAGGTCTTAGATGCATCTCAGCCACAGAGATGCTCAGCCTAAGGCTGCTTCCTGGTAATTGTGTTCAGATCTGGTACTGAACATAATCATACAGCCCCATGCCAGGCAAGAAGGTCCTAACTGGGAAGGGTCCAGGACACCTGGGGATGTACTATTACTTTCTGCATTGACTTTGTAGGCTTTGCAAGGGATTGGCTTCTGGGGCAAGCCGACCATTTCTCTTCCCTGGGGAAAGCCTGGCTCTGGTTGGGGCCAGCCGCACCTGCACTTCTCAAGCACCAGGGGGAGCCGCAGCAGCAGCTCCTTCCAATCAGATCTCTGACCCTCATCCTCGAGGTTGGGCTCCTTGTCAGTCTGAGCTGGTGTTTCTTTCAGTCTGCTGATCTGAAGTTCGACGGCTGACTCCATTCCTCTCTGACCCAACGGCTTTTATGACTTTATGATATTTTCCCAGACTGGCTGATAAGGCAAATTTACTAGGCGTACCGGTTAATAATGCGGATTTTTTTCAATGCTAGTATATTGAATAACCACTGTAAATAAGCATACCTACTACTGTACCATTTGTTGATTAATTGCTACTTGCCAGGCCCTTTATTAAATAGTCTACATATGTTATTCCAGTGGATATTCCCAACAAATTCCCAAAATGGATGCTAACATCTTCCTTGTTCGCAGTGGAAACAAAGGATAAGAGATTACTGCATTCTTACATTTTACCCTCCTGATAACCTGTGAGATAAGTAATATCCCCTCAAGTTTGGGGAGAAGAACCGGGAGAGGTACCTTCCCCAAGGTTACACAGTAACTAACTAAGGGGTGGTGGGCCAAGGTTTAAACCCAAGTTTTCTAATTCCAAACCTGCCATTTTCTCAGCACTACACCGTCTACTCCCTGATTGCCTTGCTCTTAACTGGTAACTACAAAAGGCTACCACAGGGCCTCTGTGTTCCCACAGGAACTCAGGCAGGGCCCCACCAGAACTGCCTTGCAGGGCTTCCGTGATGCCCTGTGCCCAGGAGTGAGGATCCCTCCTCATCACAGTACTTGGTTGGCTACTTCTGTTCTGGGAGGAAAAGGTCCTTAGTGCAAACTCCCTCTAGTATCTGCTTGGAGGGTGAGGCAGGGATGGCATGGGGGAGGGTATAAAAAGGGGGGTGTGGGCTGAGCACCAGTGTCAGCATCTGTCTGGTGGCCGAGCAGTGTGGCAAGCAAAGATAACACTCGCCCTCAATCAGCAACCTCTTGCCCCAAGGGCTCACTCTGGCACTACAGCACCTGCAGGTGTGTGGCTACCAGCCAGACCCCTAGCCAGGAGCGCCAACCTGGTTCCTGGCCGAGTCTTGAACTAAGAGACACAAAGGAGCTCCTGAGTGTCTGGCCTGAGCATATGCCCCAGCTCTGCCCTTTCTCTTGGGGAAAGCACATATCTCTTTTCCAAATTTCTTAGGACCAGCTACCACCATGGACCTGCAGCAGTGGTGGGGAATGGCAGCCAGCCCAGCAGCCCCCACTCACTATCCACAGCCCGACTGCAAAGCTTTCCTCCACACCCGCATCCCACCCCTTGATAAACAAATTGTTCTCTGTTTCATGGGCTGGCTTTCTCCTGCAGCCGTGCCTCCTCCACATCTGCCCACTCCACAGTTCTAACGCCCCTGTATTCCCTGTCTACAAATTATCAGCATTCAAAGCCAGAAAGTTGGACAAAAACACCCATTCTTCTTCTGGGTTCCCATTACACAAGCATGCGAGGACAAGGAAAACATTCCTGTCAGGATCCCCCAAACCACTGGACCATTCAGTCAGCAATTGAAGCTGACACTATGTAAGTTATGTCCCATTAAGGGGCGGAGAGGCCAGCTGTCTCTTTTTCATTCATCTAAAAGCACCTAACTCCCGGGAGCAGTCACCAGCCACAACCTTAGAGGAACTGCCTCTGAGCACCCACACAGTCTACAGGAGCAAAAGTAAGACTGTAGCTCCAGGACACACCCCAGAGTGTCACACTATTGAGAAGGTTAATGAACTTAGTATAGGGTAATGGCAAAGAGCCTGGGCTTTGGAGCACAACAGATTTAGGTAATAATCTCAACTCCAGCTCTCTCTAGCTTCCTAGCCTTGAGTTTTCACCTCTCTGAACCTCATCTGAGGAACTGGAATAATATTGGTGCAGCCTCTTAGGGTGGTGTGAGGACTAAAATATGTTGTAAAATATGTTTGTAAGATGGAATTTGGCACAATCAACAGCCTATAATTCTTAACTATTACCATTATTAATAGCATCAGCATCAGCGCTCCCATGATCGCAGCAAAAAGAAAAGCGTGTGTTTCCTGAATCTTATAGCCAGGGTCTGAGCAGGGAATCTGGGAGGGGCCCCTAGTGCTCCTGAGATACAAGTGCCCATTAAGGCCCATCTCGTGCAAGGCATCTTCTCGTGAGAGTGAAGGAGTCTTGATTAGGGCCGGGAGCAGTCACTGGCTGGTGCTACAATCTGCTTTAAATCAAATTCACCCAGGCTCACTGTCTGATAACAGCCTGATTAAGGAAAATGGGCACCATAAATTTGATTCAATATTTGAGAAGAGAAAAGGAGGTGGTCATGCATCATCTGGGAAAAGCCTTTTCATGACAGCAGGAACTCACTTGCACTCAAGTTGTGCAAAAGTAAAGGCATTTTGGGGGAGTGGGATAGCGCAGAAGCTGGCGAGGTAGGAAAGAGCTATGGCCAATTATAGATGCCACACCCTGGGTTTCTAGCAGAGAGGGGACTGCTTTACAGTGATGAACTTGATTCCAGAGGTTCTCATGGCTCCATTTCCTCTGACCGCTTGGGCAGTTCCACATGCATCTCAGATTCAGCAGGCCCCAAATCAAATTCAGAGTGGCTCATCTCTCAGCCTGTTCTGCTCAGGCTCCACCATCTTGGCTAAGAGATTGGCAGTATCCCCAACTGTTTTGCTCACTGAAGTCCCACTGACTTTGCCTCTTTGCCATTTCCTGACCCTGTGCTGCACTATTCCCATAGTCCCTGCTGCCTTGTCCAGGCCTTGCTTTCTTTTACCTGGGCTAAGGAACAGCCTCCCACCCAGCCACCATCCTATAGCTTTGTCCATACCAATCCATCCTGAGCTTTACAGTCACAGAGCTTCCTAAAATGCAACCTGACCACATAATTACTCCACTTAAAAGTACCCTATGACTCTCTCTCTCTCTCCCAATTTTTTCTGGGGGGGAAGCAACCAAAATTTTTGGTGGCCTTAAAAAAAAAAAAGTATCCTATGACTTAATACTAACCATTTACACAATAAAATCCAAATTCTTTAGATTGGCATTTGAGCATCTTTATGACCTGTCTTTTCTGTACCTTTCTTTCCAGTCATTTCTTCCCTCATTACTCTATGCTCAGATACATTCTCTCTATACCCTAATCCACAGGACTGCTTTTGGCTCCCTGAACAAAGCAACTATCCAGGACCGCAACTTAGAGGACTTTGCTTTACTGTCCTCCTTCCTCCTATTCTCTATAATCTACCAAGAAAAATCACACTTAAAGACGCAGCTCAAATGTCTTTTCTCCTGGGAGCATTCTTTGATAAAGCAAGTAGAGGACTTACTCCCTACAGATTCCTATCTTTGCTTCCAGCCTAAGTCTCGGCTTGTCTTTTTGCCATGCGACTGAGTGTGCCGGAGGGAGGTGCGCCCCAGTCCTGTGTAGAAAAGTGTGGGAACTGGAACTCTCTCCAGCTTTCACTGACGAGGATATCTTTTCTTCCCTCTTTCTTGGTGCTCTGGAATCCTAGTCTATGCTTGTACACTATCTTCACTTGCCCCTCAAACTCCACCAGTATCACCCGAGATTACAGACTGTATCTGCTCCGTGTCTCCCAACCCCCTACACCAAGAATAGGGGCTCTCACCTCAGAGTCCAAAACCACGTCTGCATCATCTGTAATTCCCACACTCCTCCCCCAACACACAGTAGGTAGAACTAACATGTTGCAGTTTAACTAGAATTTTTTCCATTGAAGGCTTCCATAATTGAGTAAGAATCCTAACAACAAATCTATTTCTTATCCTTGAACCCACTTGAGAGCTCAGCAGCAACATGTATTCGAGTCAGCATTGCTCAACAGAACTTTCTGTGGTGACAAAAATATTCTATATCTGCACTTTCCAAAATAATAGCCACTGGAGACATGTGGCTATTGAGCACTTGAAACTGTGACGAGTGCAAATAAAGAATTCACTTTTTAATTTTAGTTAACTTCAGTTTAAAAAGCCACCTGAGATTAGCAGCTACTACTACTGGACAATGTAGCTCTAGATTCTCCTTGGTAAGGAGCCTTCCTAGGAAATAAACATTTCCTCACTAACTCAGCTGCCACTGGCCCCTCCCTTGCTCTTGAGGTACAAGGAATTGGATGCAGTGGAATGGAGTGCCTTATGAAACTCAAAGCCACAGAGAGCCCTGCACGACCAGTGATCCCTGCCAACCTGCAGAAGGCCTAGGAAAACCCATCACTCTAGAGCAGCGGTTCTCAACCTGTGGGTCACGACCCCTTTGGGGGTCGAACGACCCTTTCACAGGGGTCGCCTAAGACCATCGGAAAACACATATATAATTACATATTGTTTTTGTGATTAATCACCATGCTTTAATTATTTTCAATTTGTAACAATGGAAATACATCCTGCATACCAGATATTTACATGACGATTTATAACAGTAGCAAAATTACAGTTATGAAGTAGCAACAAAATTAATTTTATGGTTGGGGGTCACCACAACATGAAGACCTGTGTTAAAGGGTCGCGGCATTAGGAAGGTTGAGAACCACTGCTCTAGAGGGAGCAGAACCCACAGACTCACTTTGTAGACAATCCCAGGATGCACTGGTGGATTCCAGACAAACAGGGGACAGGGCTTGCTTGGCCAGCTCTGCAAACCCTGATATATTAGAGCAGGCTAACTGCTATCCAAACACTCAGTCAGCCCCAAGTTACAGAGCAGGAGATAGGAATCTGTTGGAAACAATGAATTAGAGGCTCAAGACAAGGGGTTAGGTCATTTTCAAAATCAGATGTATCTTTTTACAGGACAAAGTGTCAGCTGGGTTCAAAACTATGCCATTTATAGATCATTCTGAAGCCAGTAGGCATCACTAAAAAGGAAATATTAGAAAACAGGGAAGATAGTCAACACTCCCTCCCTCTGCTGTGCACAGGGCTTGAGGGGGTTGGAGCTTTGCTTCCAGCCTAAGTCTCAGCTTGTCTTTTTGCCACGTGATTGAGAGGGAGGTGCACTCCAGTCCTGTGTAGAAAAGTGTGGGGACCGGAACCCTACTCTCTCCAGCTTTCATTGATGAGGACATCTTTTCTTCCCTCTTTCTTGGTGCTCTGGAATCCTATGACTTGCATTATTTTAAACTAGAGGCTCGGTGCACAAAATTCATGCACTGGGCAGGGGGTAGGAGGTGGTGGAGCAGGAGGTCCCTTACCTTGGCCTGTGCCCTCTCGCAGTCTGGGGCTCTCATAGTCCGGGGACCCTCGCTCCTCACCGCCCGCCTGCAGCAGAGGCAGGAGAGGCTCCCACCACTGCCGCTGCGCTTGCCAGCCGTGAGCCTGGCTTCTGGCTGAGCGGTGCTCCCCCTGTGGGAGTGCACTAACCACCAGGGGGCAGCTCCTGCATTGAGCGTCTGCCCCCTGATGGTCAGTGCGCATCATAGCAACCTGTCATTCCGCAGTTTGGTCGATTTGCATATTGGGGTTTTATTATATAGGAGGATTGTCCAATAAAGGTAAATTATTAACATGTCTTTTTAAGCTTTATTTTTCATATGGATAAACTAATAAGCCAGAAAGTTGTATCAACAGATTACTTGTCCTGATTTTGGGTGTCACCATGTGATCCAGGTCTCCAGAGTAAGTAAAAGACCTGCTCTACACAGGGAGGTTAGAAGGATCCTGGCTTGCTGGGATGAGACTTTATGCTAGAAAACATTGAGGAGAACCAACAGTCTCCCAGCCCCATTCTCTTATCATCTCACTCAGATGCAGTAAAGAACCTAAGCTTTGCACAGGCACAGGTTCAAATCCAGGCTCAGGATTCAAACCCAAAACCTTCAAGGGCAGGTCTCTCTGAACTTTAGTTTTCTCATCTATAAAACAGGCATAACATACCTATCATGCTGGAGGCTGTGACAAACACGGAAGACAATCATATAAAGTGCCAAGCCCAGTGCCTGGCACATAGTAGGTCTCACCCTCCGATTGTAAATTATATCTCAGAGCCTCTCACTTTATAAGCAAAGTTTAGATTTTTGTTTCTCCCAGATACATGATCTTACCTCAGTAACCCAGATGTGATAAAAATAACAACTTAGCACTCTGCTAGGCTTTGCTGCACAATATCATTTATTCCTCAGAACTACCTTGTGGGGAGGTTGTTATTATCCCATTTGTTATTTGTATGATTATCCTATTCTATAAATTCAGGACCTGAGGATCAGAGACTTGACCAAGGTCACAAAGCCGGTCAGTGGCAGAGTAGGGCTTTAATGCTCATCCTTTGGAGCGCCAGGCAAGCCTACTGCCTTGTAGGGATGACAATGGTTTGGTTGCTTGGGAACTGCTCCCCAGCATTCCTCACCTGTGTAATTCTTCATCAGAGGGTGAATACTTGGCAGTGACATCAGCCAGCTCCCCAAAGATCTGCTTGCTGTAAACGGTGAGGGAGGACAGCAGAATTAATTCCTGCCATGTAGAGCTCAGGAGGCACGTGTAATCCTTGATTGAGAGCTCGCAGAAGAAAGGCAGTTTCTTGATCCAGGCAATCTGCCTAAAGAGCAGCTCGTCAGCCAGGCGGCAAAGCAGGGCAAACAGCTCCGCCTGGGTCACAGCATATCTAAGGTGTAGAGACAGGGCAAAGTCACTTCCAGTGGCCAGAGGGTGAGGAAGGGGGCACAGGGAGAAGAAACTCCTAGGGCACAGAGGGCACAAAGGGGTTCTGGCAGTGGGCTCCTTGCCTATCCCGTGAATCTCCAGCTCCATTCAATTCAGTCTGATAAAGGGGCAGGACTGGGGCCAGCAGCAAACTCAGGGCCAGAGAGGCAGGTTTGTGAGAAAAGGTTGCTGAGGGGGAACGGAGGCTCAGAAATGTGTGCAGTTACCAGGGATTACGACTTTTAATGTTGGCGTCTACTAATGCTTCATGTGTTAGAGAAAATTCCCAGTCACTCCTGCACTATTTTGGTAATGAGGGCTCCAGCTCCATTAGGGGAATCTGGTGCCCACGTAATACAGTCTGGCAGAAAAATGAGCCTGGTGCCAAATGGCTGAGAAAGACCAGAACAAGTTCCGAAGCTTTTCCTGCTCTCACTGCACCCCCTGGTGGTGAGAGTTCAGGCACTAGAGCAGTGGTTCTCAACCTGTGGGTCGAGACCCCTTTGGGGGTCAAATGACCCTTTCACATGGGTCGCCTAAGACCATCGGAAAACACATATATAATTACATGTTATTTTTGTGATTAATCACTATGCTTTAATTATGTTCAATTTGTAACAATGAAAATACATCCTGCGTATCAGATATTTACATGACGATTCATAACAGTAGCAAAATTACAGTTATGAAGTAGCAACGAAAATAATTTTATGGTTGGGGGTCACCACAACATGAGGAACTGTATTAAAGGGTCACGGCATTAGGAAGGTTGAGAACCACTGCACTAGAGTCAGAGCTGCTCAGCCCTTCTAAGCTAAGGCAGGAGGGAAAGAGCAGGGCATTTCTCAGCTCTGGGCCGGATGACACGGGGGTCCCAGTGTGCCTTCTCTCAAGGCCCCTTGGCATGACTCTTCCCCACACCCACATGTCCAGATTTATAAATTTTTTGTGTGGCCTTCTTCTAGGGAGAGACTTGAATTTCCTCTTTGAAATTAGAGACTAGCTTAAGAAATCTCAGGATACCTTCTGGAGGGTTTCTAAGCTTGGAAATACTCAAACAGCATATGCTCCAGGCCAAAGGAGTAATGGGAACAGCAATGGGTAGCCTAAAGGCTGAACTATTATCCATTCAGGTAGAGCTGACAGAGGAGTGAAAGAGTATTTTCTTCCATCCATCCAGGCCTGCAGAGAGCACATGGCACCAGGCTCCGTGGGTATTTTGGCTAGGGATGCAGACAGGCTATAACCAGTTGGTGCCTTCAGTGTCTGGCTAAGGAGCCTAGACTTGATGTATGATTATACCCAGAATTATAGGTCATCTCTCGCTCAAGAGAAAAATGAGGGACCACTGACTTCAAGGATAAGCACAGATTTGCCCTCTAATACTGAGTCATCACTCACTATTTCTGACATATTCTGAAGCCTGGGACAAAGCAGGCAGGGAGGAAGGTGGATGTAGGGTAGGGAGCATTTTGAAGCTGCAAGGGCTAAAGAGGGCAGGGCTCACTCACCCATCTTCGATCAACATGGGTGTGCCCAATGGCTCCAGGTCCTCAGCTGACACCAGCTGGTGAATCAGACTGTATGACTGGGGATCCAGGCTGCGAGCTTGTGGGGGCAGAAGTGGCGAGTGGGCAGAATAGCTAAAAAGGTGCGGTATGTATTGATAGTGTGGAGGCACAGACATCCCCATGTACTGCTCCCTGAAAGCCATGAATCCATTTAGTTCCACAGACCTACTGGAGAGAAAAGTCTCATGTTAGTCAGAAGCTGGCAGGGTCTACTTCCTCCCTAAAGGGAATGAGCCAGAAGGTGGCTCAGGTGTTCTTTGCCCATGCAGCCTGTCTCCATCAAGCCGGGGACATAATGAATGGTTACATGCACCTGTCCTCTACTAGACAGGGACTCTGTGTGTGTACGTATGGGTTACCACTGGACACCCAGGAACTGGCAAAGTAGATATTGAGTAAATATTGGCTAAATGAATTCTTCATACAGGTGCCACGGTTAGAGACTTTTTAATGGATACCAACAGACTATGATGATAAAGGTGAGTACTTTGGTTTTTGCTGCTAAGAAAACTGAAGAAGAGACATGCTAACGCCTTGCCAGGCCACAAACCAAAGCCAGCACTTAGCAAACAAATCTGGCATGTGGCAACAACTCCCCAAACATTCAAAGGAAAGAACAAACTAAGGAACAACTGAATGAATAAAAGTTACAATATGAAGAGAAAGGCAGATTCTTATCTTTCTTTTACCTGTTTTTGGAGAAATATAGCCACTCTCAACCAATTTTTAAAAATCCTATAGTTTTACTTAGATGCACCTCCTGTAACAGGATCAGCACACTATGGCCCATGGCCCGTTTTGGTAAATTAAGTCTGACTGGCACACAGCCACGCATTCACTGACATACTGTCTCTGGCTGTTTTTGCACTACGATGGCATAGTTGAGTAGCTGAGCCCAGACTGTAGACCTGAGAAGCCTAAAATATTTACTGCCTGGCTTTTATAGACAGTTTGTTGATCCCTTTTCTGTAAGAGAGGTTTCTGGGGAAAGAATGCCTTCTCTGGTAGCTGATGGCTATATTTCACACCTAACAACTAACTTAAGGTACCATTATTGAACCAAAAGTCGCCAAATTGGTATTCCAGCAAGTGTTACTAGGTTAAAAAGTTTTCCCTATTTCTTAAAATTTATAAAGTGAAAAGCTTCACTCTTGCGGAGGCAGAGAAATTATAACTTCAGTGTGGCTTGTTTTATTTCAGTGATAAAGTAAATAGCTACATTTAAAATGTTATACTGTTAGGTAAAGAATGTATGTACCCAGGTTGCATTTATCAGTCTGTAGGAGAGACCTGACATTTTCAAGGTCCTTAGCAAAAATGGGTTGTGAAATGATGAAGCCTACCCCAAAAGACCGAGGAAGTAAGGATACAGTGACTGGGACAGACTGGCAGGAATACCCAGCACAGATGGCTCCATTCTCTGGGTGATCTCTAGATGATGCTGGGATGAAGCTCACCTGGAGGACATAGTAGAGCCTGGTGAAGGCTGGTTGCTCTCTGAAGCCCTGTTCCCAGGGGAACTGTGGTCGCTGTCACCATGGTTGCTCCAGTGATTGGCCTCTTCCTCAAATTCCTGCCCAGACATGATCCTTTCAATCTCTTCCTCTGATATCTTTGAGAAAAAATTGATACATGTTAGATTGGGTGTTTAGGATTCCTTCTGTTCCTTCAAGACTGAGAACTTATTTAAACTTCACGGGGATTCCCAAACCTTCTAAAGAGAAATGCAGATATCCCCATACTTCCCTCTACCCCCATTCTCCAGGCTCATCACTAATTTACGATGGCCTGGTTGCTTGCTTCCCAGCACCATAGTTCCCCATAGCCTTCCTCTTGCTTATTTACCTCTCTCAAGCCATAAAGCCTCTAGGTTCTTCATCATTCCTCTTTGTCCTTGAGTCTATTCTTTCCTACCTCTGAATTGCCCCTCTTCAATAATAAAGTATTACTTGCCCTTTAGGACCCAACTCAAATGTCACTTTCTTTGTGAATCCTTCTATCACTACACCTAGACAAAATTTTAGGTCCTTTTCCTGTCCACTCATAATTCCATGCATTCTGAGAGGGGGTTCGAATAGCATAATGGTTAAGAGTATGAATTCTAGAGTCAGACCACCATTGTTCTAACCTAGTTTCTACTTCTGCCACTTTCTAGTTGTACAATCTTGGGCAAGTCATTTAATTATTTGAACCTAAAATCCTTCATATATATGGTGGAGAGAATAATAGTATCTATCTCAAAGGATTGATGTGAAGATTAAATTAGTTAATACATGATCACATGTTTAGAAAAGGGCCTAGCCCATAGCAATAATTATGGAAGGCTGACAATGATATCTTCATCATTAGTGTTATTTTTTATAGCATTTATGGTAATGAGGCATAAAAATATCCTCTACAAGACCTGAGACTATGACAGGATTTTAAAAACAATAACTAAGTACTCAATAAATGCATGATGGGTAACTGAACAAGTGCTCACTTATTAAGTACTGACCACAAACCTTCACGTGGATATTCGTAGTAAGAAAGCTCAGATAAATGAATTGATTTGCCCAAGATCACTGGCATGCCCATGCTTGGGCAGGAGTTTGAGGAAGAGGCCAAAATATCCAAGTATTCAGTCCAGTGCTTTAGCTGCTACACCATATAGGGAGTAGATAAACACTTCTATAAAGTGTCTAACCCTAACTGGCTAACCTCAGCCTGCAGAAGGAGAGTGAGTGCTGAAGAGGAAGGGCCAGCTGAATTTTTATTTCTTGTTCCTATGAAAAGAATGGGAGGACACTGTCTCCTAAGTCTGTCTAACTCATACCCACATAATTCTTGGCTCCAGGAGCCTGTAAGGAAACTTTGAGCTGTTCATAAATACAGGTGGCATTTAGAAGTGAAAGCACAGCTAGCACACAGGAATTGGAGGGAAAACAAGTAACATTTAACTGGTGTACAAGTTGAGTGATTGGTCTCAAATGGCTTGGATTGCATATTGAATTGGAGGGGTTGTCTTTCTTTATTCAGTCATATGTTGCACACACACACACACACACACACACACACACACACAAACCCAAAACCTTTCCTCTTAAGGTCCTTAGAACCCTGAAATCACTGTTTGCATTTTTTAAGACATGTGAAGACAGATGGTGCCATCAAACTACAGATATCTACTGAGGTCCAGACTGAAGCAGTCTCAGTGATGGCGGTGGGCATGGAATAACTTGAGCTGGGTAAAAAGGGCCAGTCCTGGTAACATCAGCTTATTCCAGCTGAGAGTCAAAGTCAGCCTGCACCCAACTCTCCCATAGGACACTGGGAAATCACTGATGCATTAAACAGGGGATGGAACATGTTGGGAATGCTTGAAGCTGGGTTCAAATTTCATCTGCAATTAGACTTACTGCTGGGCAAGTCACTTAAGTTCTCTAAGCCTTAGCTCCCTCCTCTTTAGCAGATACTAGAGATAATACAACCTTCCTCATAGCTCAGGGTTCCCGCACAGAGTGCTGTGGTAAAGAAATATGCAGGTTTGAGTCAGATCGATTTGGGAGGTTAATCTAAGATAAGTTATACAGTGCGCGTGCATAACAGGAGCTCAATAAATGGAAATTCTATCCCTTATTTTTAATTATGCTTAAACACAGTTAAGAACTTGGAAATCACAGCTCTCTCTTTCTAACATACCCTCGAAACAGTAAAAGAGTAAAAGGAAAATTATATGCCCATTATCAAAAAGTCAAAGGCAGTGACAGATGAAATAGGTTTCTCTAACATCAGTTCCCTTGATTCTAAATAGAGTTTGGAGGTGTAAAGAGAGCAACACAGGGTACTTGCCCACAGTTAACCTCATACACAATGGTGAAAAACTGAAAGCTTTTCCTCCAAGATCAGGATCAAGGCAAGGATGCCCGCTCTTAACATTGCTATTCAACATAGTACTGGAAGTCCTAGCAGGGCAACTAGGCAAGAAAAAGAAATAAAAGACATCTAAATCAGAAAGGAAGAAGTAAAATTATCTCTGTTTACAGATAACATTATCTTCTAGGTAGAAAACCCTAAAGATCCCACCAAAAACCTGTTAGAACTAATAAAAGAATTCAGCAAAGTTGCAGGATACAAAATCAACATACAAAAATCAGTTGTACTTTTACACTAATAATGAATAAACAAAAAGGAAATTAAGAAGACAATCTCACAAGAGTATCAGAAGAATAAACTACTTAGGAATAAACTTAACTAAGGAGGTGAAAAGCCTGCACACTGCTGAAAGAAATTAAAAACATAAATAAATGAAAAGACATCCTGTGCTCATAGACTGAGAGGTTTACTAGATTCCATGCAATCCCTATCAAAATCCCAATGGTGTTTTTTGCAGAAATAGAAAAAACAATCTTAAATTCTTATGGAAGTCCAAAGAACCCCAAACAACACAGCTAGAGGCCTTACAGTTCCTCATTTCAAAACATATTGCAAAGGTATAGTAATCAAAACAGTATGATACTGGCACAAGGACAGACATATAGACCAAGGGAACAGAGAGAAGAGCCCCAAATAAACCATGCATATATGGTCAAAGGTCTTTGACAAAGATGCCAAGACTACACAATGGGGAAAGGATAGTCTCTTTCACAAGTGGTGCTGGGTAGACTGGACAGCCATAAGCAAAAGAATGAAATTAAAATCTCATCATACATAAAAGTCAGCTCAATGTGAATTAAAGGTTTGAATATAAGACCTGAACATATAAAACTTCTAAAAAAGCACAAAGAAAAAGCTTCTTGGCAATACTTTTTAATTGATTTGAGAGAGGAAGGGAGGAAGGGGGAGGAGAGAGAGAGAAGGAGGGGGGGAGGGAGGGAGGGAGGGAGGGAGAGAGAGAGAGAGAGAGAGAGAGAGAGAGAGAGAGAGAGAGAGAGAGAGAAACATCGGTTTCACTTACTTATGCATTCTTGTAGTACCCTGACCAATGATCGAACCCAAAACCTTGGCGTATTGGTATGACACTCTACCCAAATGAACTACCCGGCCAGTTGAATATGACACCAAAAGCACAATCAACAAAACCAAAAATAGGTAAATGGGATTACATCAAACTAATATACTTCAGCAAAATAAAGGAAACCGTCAACAAAGTGAACAGTCAACCTATAGAATGATAGACAATACTTGCAAGCCATATATCTGATAAAGGGTTAATATCCAAGATACACAGGGAATTCCTGCAACTCAATATTAAAAAGAAAAACCAACAACCTTTTTTTAAAATGGTCAAAAGACTTTAATAGACATTTCTCCAAAGAAAACATACAAACAGCCAACAGGTATATGAAAAGATGTTCAACATGATTTGAAATGCAAATCAAAACCTCAATGAGATATCATGGCATACCTATCAAGATAGAAAAAACAGGAAACATATGCTGAATAGGATGTGGAAAATTGGAAACCTTGTGCATTGGAAGGTGGGAATGTAAAAATGATGTGGCCACTATGGAAAATGGTATAGAGTTTCTCAAAAAAATTAAAAATAGAACCTCCATATGAACCCACAATCCCAGTAGCAGATGAGAGGATCAAGTTAAGTATCTGGAACCCTGGGCTTCGAGGATGGATCACAGAGTGTGACCGAGAACTCACCTGGACTGGCCCAATGCTCTTATTCCGGCCTCCAGGCATGCCATCTTCTCTGATTGCTGAAGGGAGACATAAGCAAGAGTGAGAAGCATGCCCACAGAAGTCTAGGCATGAAAAGAGAACTTCTTTAGCCAAAAGCACAGGGTAGTAATTAGTGAAGCCAAGATTAAAACAGGTCTTTCTGGTCAAAGCACATACTCTTATTCCAGGCTACCTCATAGCAGATACTTTTGGGGCCCCAAGGTGCTGGGCACACACTATACACCCTCTATACATTCAATATGCTCAACCAAAGTGACTGCATTATTAATGGTCCCACAGTTACAAATATCCCATCAGGATGACACATCTGAAGACTTTGGTAAATTCAGGAGAGGAATAGAAAGAATATTTTCATTCTTAAATATTTTTTATTTCCAGTGTGAGTTTGAGTCTAATTTGTTGAATGAGAAGAATGCATTTTTTATTTACTTTAAAAAAAATTAATCAGAATATTGACTTTCATCGCTCCTCCCTATGAAGGCAGTCGGTAGAGTTCCCTTGCCATTGATTTTCCACTCAGGTGATTCAACAAAAGGAAAAACTTATTTAGCATTTTCTTTTTTTCAAAATATATTTTTATTAATTTCAGAGAGGAAGGGAGAGAGAGATAGAAACATCAATGATGAGAATCATCGATTGGCTGCCTCCTGCACGCCCCCTACTGGAGATCGAACCAGCCACCTGGGCATGTGCCCTTGAGCGGAATTGAACCGGGACCCTTCAGTCTGTAGGCCAACGCTCTATCCACTGAGCCAAACCAGCTAGGGCTATTTAGCATTTTCTAACTGTAAAAAAGCATCCTTTAAATAGTACTAACCTCATTAAGAATTACAACTACTAATACTATTACTATCATCATTGATGGAGCACTTATTACGGGGGTACAGAGAAGAAACCCTTAATTTGCAATGATAGCCTCTGGTGTCTGGAAAAGCTTCCTAAAAAAGACAACTGCTAAACTGAATCTTAACAGATGATCAGGATTTATACAGGCAGGGAAAAGGTCTCCAAGTTGAGTGAACAGCACACAGAAAAGCTGCAAGCTGCAAGTAAGCATGGAGTGCTCTTTCTGGGAATTTCCAAGTGGTTCAATCTGGATGGATGAGGAGAGAGAGAGAAGGGTAGCAAGAGATGAGGCTGGAGAGGCCAACTGAGGCCAGATCACAGAGAGCCTTGAATGCCAGGCTCAGAGTATGCCCTTTAGCAGAGGAGCCTGAGGATGACAGAATGCAGAAAAGGGATGAGGTCAGGCTAACATTTTCGAAAAATCCGTGATGGCCACTGTGGAAGGTGGTTTGGAGGGAGTAAGGGGATAAACTAATGGCATCATATGAGAACAAGCTTTTTTTAAAAAAATACATTTCTTTATTGATTTCAGAGAGGAAGGGAGAGGGAGAGAGAGAAAAAAACATCAATGATGAGAGAAAATCTTTGATTGGCTGCCTCCAGCACGTCCCCACTGGGGATTGAGCCCACAACTCAGGCATGTGCCCTCGGCCGGAATCGAACCTGGGACCCTTCAGTCCGCAGGCCAACGCCCTATCCACTGAGTCAAACCAGCTAGGGCTGAGAACAAGCTTCGCTATAATATACCTACTTGAAAAAAAATTACTATGAAGAATGTAGAAAGTCCTTGGGGCAGGTTTGGTTGCCTCTAAAGGTGAGGGCTCCAATCGTAACAACACTCAGTACCTGTGGTAACTGAAAGGCTGCCCGGAAGTTTGTTTTCCTTAAAGCAGACGTCATTCTTGGTATCCTTAGATTATACACTTCAGAATTAGACAAGTTTGGGTCTAATCCTGTTTCTGCCTTGTCTGTACATATAGATAAATTTCTTCACATCTCTGAATAAATAAAACTTCAGAATAAATAAAATTTACTGAAGAATAAAGAGGGGCTAATGAAGCTTTTTTTATGGGCTATTGTAAAGATTATATATAAAACAATATAGCTCAAGAATCAAGCATACAGCCTGGCTTATATAGTAGATACTCAGGAACTAATCCTTCCCTCTCCCCAGCCTCTTTTCTCCAAACAGGAGTTAAAAAAACCAAGGTTCCATTCTCAACTTTGCTGGAGCCTTAGTATCTTCATCTGTGAAATGAAGGCAACATAGTCTTTCCTGCTGTGTATTTGGAGGGGAAAACATACATAGCCACATACATAGCCTATGTTAGAATCATACCTGGTTGTCTGGGAGCCCTCTTTCAATGCTCTAACCACTAAGCTACCTGGCAAGGCCTATCCAGGCTCACCTTACATTTTCCCTGTCTCAGTCCTAGAATCAATCAATTCTCCAAGGATTCCTTTTATTGATATTTAGAAACCAGGCCTGAGTGCTAGGTATGCTCATTGCTACTGTGGTATCACTGCTTTAGCCACTTTCAGTGGAGAGCTATATATATGTATACCAACTCATGCATCTCCACACTTTCTATCTGTATTTTTATCAACCCACCTAAGCATGATTCCATGTTGATCCCTCTGATTTCCATCTGGCACCAGAGGTTTCATTCTATCCTTCCCCTTTCCTGATTTATCACTTCTTTTTCTGATGTTAGAAACCTGACTTTCATTATCTACAATATATTTATTTACTTGTCAGTTCAACCCTAGTTCCCAAATAAAGTAGTGAGAACTCTGAGAGAAACAAATTTACAAACTAGGGTGCTTTGTTTGTATGGGGTTCTTTTTGTCTTCAGCCTTACAGTGTAAAATCAATACACTGTTTTATCAAGGTCAGCTCCTTTCTTCCCATTTCCTTCAGTTAGATTTGTTTGTCACAGTCTGCATTTCCTCCCATACCCAGGTTACTTTAAAAAATAAACAAACCAACAAACAAACACGACATACAGTAAAATTTATGGTGTATAATTTTATAGGTTTTAAAAAATGCATAAAACTATGAGTTGAACATCACAGTTCCATGCAGGACAGTTCCTGATTCCTTAAATATTCCCCAAAATATTCCAATGGCAACTTTAATTCCACTTTCCCAGCACCAACCAGGAGGTGGCAGGGTTTCCCTCTTAGAGGAAGCCTTTACCAGGCAGCTGAGCCTGCTTGCTCAGCAAGCGAATGGGCCTGGCAGGCAGCTCCCATCCCTCCCATCCCTCCAGTCATCTGGCTACGGTTACAAAGGTTAAGAGGTTAAGCTCCTTCTTTCCTAAAACAGGTGAGTTTGGCTGGAAGCCTCAGAATCTCACACGCCAACCGAAAAGCCGGATGATTCATCTTAGTCAAGAAGGCAACCCACAAATATGCTTTGATAAAATCTTCACAGTGAAACAAACAAAACTCCACCAAAAATCAAACAAAAAAAATTTTTTTCACAGTGAGGGTAACAAAGGGAGCTAAAAAAAAAAAAATTGGAGACCACCACCAAATCAGGCAAAGGTGGGTAGATGACCACAAACTCTCTTCAAGACATTTCTTGTTTGATATTGGTGGCTAGTGTGGACAAAAAAAGGGATTCTATGGAAAGTAACCTCACAAGGTGATCTGATCATAAATTCCTAACTGGGAAGGTCATGGTGGGTAGTCACGTCCCAAGCATATTACTTCTTTAGTAAAAGATTTATCTTTGCCTTAAGCAAGCCCTGTCCATTGTTTCTGTGCATCTAGGTTACCACACCTTTGAAATAAACTACCCTCAAGAGAGCACATAATCTTAACTACCCTGTAATCTAATCCACATGACCACCCTGAAGACAGCGCATAATCTTAACTGCCCTGTAATCTTCCTTACATTCCCTTCTCAATCTCAAAATGCATAAAAGAAACAGCAAACTGTTGTTCTCCAAAGCATTGACCTCTCTCAGTCTGATATACCTGCTTCCAGGTATATTCTCTTTCTGGCTCAAATAAATTTTTCTGAAAATTCTCTACAGATTTGGCCATTCTTACATTGACACCACCACAAAACTAATATCTGGGGTAAATCATTTTACCTTCCTAAGCTGCACCTGTAAATTGAGGGTAATCTACACTAATAAAAGAGAAATATGGTAATTAGCGTACGACCGCTACCCTTCCCATTGGCTAATCAGCGTATCCTTATGCAAATTAACTGTCAGCCAAGATGGCGGCCGGCAGCCAGGCAGCTGGAAGCGAACATGAGGCTTGCTTGCTTCAGTGAAGGAGGACTCCAACGTTCCCCGCCTGCCGCTGCCGGCCTCTCAGCTGGCAGTTTGAAACATTCTAACAAATATAGGCCGGGATCTCAGAGCTGAAGTTATACATTGTTTCGATTATAGAACCGACACAAACCAGATACGAAGCCTCAGAGCTAGAGCCAGAGCTAAAGCTGGCCCAGAATAAAATAAAAAAAAGGAGCGGTTGGGAGCTTCAATCAACAACCGCCAGCCTGAAAGCAGCCCTCAGCCCCTCACCCAGGCTGGCCAGGCACCCCAGTGGGGACCCCCACCCTAAAGGGTGTGTGACCAGATGCAAACAGCCATCATCCCCTCATCCAGGCTGGCCAGGCACCCCAGTGGGGACCCCCACCCTGATCCAGGACACCCTTCAGGGCAAACCAGCCGGCCCCCAGGCCTCTATCCTATATAGTAAAAGGGTAATATGCCTCCCAGCACCGGGATCAGCGGAACCGCGAGTCCTCGTGGCACCGGATCAGCATGACAGGGGGTAGCACCCAAACCCCCTGATCACCCTGCGGCTCTGCGCGTGTTGGGGGCGGGGCCACAACCTCCCTATCCGCCCTGCTCTGTTCGTGACAGGGGAAGGCGGCCCAACCCCCTGATCAGCCCTGCTCTGTGCCTGATAGGGGGGAGCTCCCCAACCCCCTGATCGGCCCTGCTCTGTGGGTGATAGAGGGCGGTGGCCCCCCCCCCCACGGGCCCTGCTCTGTGTGTGACAGGGTAAAGCCATAACCTCCCCATCGGCCCTGCCCTGAGTGTGACAGTGGCTGCACCCCAACACCCTGATCGGCCCTGCTCTGTGGGTGATAGAGGGCGGTGCCCCACCCCCACCCCCACGGGCCGTGCTCTGTGTGTGACAGTGGCGGCACCCCAACCCCCTGATCGGCCCTGCTCTGTGCATGACAGGGGGCAGCGCCCAACCCCCTGATTGGCCCTGCTCTGTGTGTGACAGTGGGGAGCTCCCCAACCCCCTGATCGGCCCTGCTCTGTGAGTGACAGGGGGGAGCTCCCCAACCCCCTGATCGACCCTGCTCTGTGTGTGACAGGGTACGGAGCCCCAACCCCCCTGATGGGCCCTGCTCTGTGCGTGACAGAGGGCAGCGCCCCAACCCCCTGATTGGCCCTGCTCTGTGCGTGACAGGGGGTGGCGCCGCAACCTCCCCATCGACCCTGCATTGAGTGTGACAGGGGGTGGTGCCCCAACCCACCAATCAGCCCTACCCTGAGTGTGACTGAGGGTGGCATCGCAACCTCCCAATCCGCCCTGCTCTGTGCATGCCAGGGGGTGGCGCCCCAACTCCCCAATCGGCCCTGCTCTGAGCCCGACCAGGGGCTGCACCTAGGGATTGGGCCTGCCCTCTGCCACCTGGGAGCAGGCCTAAGCCAGCAGGTCGTTATCTCCCGAGGGGTCCCAGACTGCGAGAGGGCACAGGCCGGGCTGAGGCCCCCCCCCCCCTTCCCAACCCCCGAGTGCACAAATTTTTGTGCACTGGGCCTCTAGTAGTTAATAAGAGGGTTGGTTGTGTGTATGAGGTAATACATAGAAAGTGCAGAAGAGTTTCTGGCACATACAGTGCTCATAAATATTAGTATTATAAATAAATGATTTAAATTTATCTCAATGACCTTCTTCTATATCTTTTACCTTTTTTCACGATGGCCAAATTTTCAAAAGGTTCTTCTTACCCCACACACAATAAAAAAAAGCAATCTTGCTCTGGCCAGTGTTGCTCAATGGTCAAAGCGCTGGCCTAAGCACCAAATGGTCGCAGGTTAGATTCCTTGTTGCTGGTTCGCTCCCTGCCCCATCTGGGCATGTGTGGGAGGCAACCAGTCGATGTGTTGCACATCGATGTTGCTCTCTCTTCTCTCTCTCTTTCTCTCTCTCTCCCCCCCTCCCTCCCTCCTCCCTTGTACTCTCTCTGAAAAGCAATGGAAAAAATATCCTCAGGTGAGGATTAACAACAACAAAAAACAAAAAAACCCACAAAAAAACAATCTGGATGCCTGCACTCATTAATGCTATAGATCAGCGGTTCTCAACCTGTGGGTCACGACCCCTTTGGGGGTCGAACGACCCTTTCACAGGGGTCGCCTAAGACCATCGGAAAACATACATAATTACATATTGTTTTTGTGATTAATCACTATGCTTTAATTATGTTCAATTTGTAACAATGAAATTGGGGGTCACCACAACACGAGGAACTGTATTAAAGGGTCGCGGCATTAGGAAGGGTCACTGCTATAGATCAATTTGACCAGTTCAAGAAGTCAGACTAACTAACCCCCACCCCTGCATACTAATGAATCCCTAACACCTTGCTGGGTACTTTTTATACATTGTCACATTCATTCTCTACAGAACTCTGAAAGATTAAGTATTATCAGACCATATTACAGGTAAGATAACTGAGCATCAGAGATAAAAAACAAACTAACTGCCCAAGGTCACACAGCTAGTCTGTCACCACCCTCTGCCTCCAGAGCCTCCATTCTTTCCACTGAACTACTCCTCTCCACCATCCATGAAAACATCCTACAGTTGGGACACTGGCCCTCTTCTGTATCCAAGTTCTCTTTGGGTGATTTCTACCCACTAACAAAGTCTTCCCATTTCTATGCCAACAACTCCATCTTGCAGGCAGGGCTTTTCACCTGAGTTCCAATTTTAGATGTCCAATTTCCTTGGTGGACATTTGTATGTGTCCTTCTAGGGAACCTCAAACCCAGCATTATCAAGGCCAACATTTTGCCCCACCTTGCTTTTTTAGCCTGACTTTTTTTCCTGGGAGGGTCAGTACTATTTTTTTAAAATATATTTTTATTGATTTCAGAGAAGAAGGGAGAGGGAGAGATAGAAACATCAATGAGAGAAAATCATTGACCAGCTGCTTCCTGCACTCCCCCTACTGGGGATCGAGCCGGCAAACTGCGCATGTGCCCTGACCAGGAATGGAACCATGACTTCCTGGTTTATAGGTCAACACTCAACTACTGAGTTACTCTGGCCAGGCGGGAGGGTCAGTACTATTAATCCAAATCTTCAACTTCAACTTTTGCTGCTGCCTAATAGCCAGTATGTCACTAGCTCCTACCAGATGAGCTTCTCCTACATCCCCATCCCACCCCAAGTCCTTCATACCTTTCTTTTCACTCTCTAAAAACTTCCAAGGTGACTTTTCTTCATCTCCCACCCAATCCATTCTTCAAAGCTGCCCTCTGGATAAATCCTCTTACAATACCCATTAATTTTGGTCATCTCTGGCTAATGACTCTTAGAAAGCTTCCCAACAAATCCCAAATTCTTCACCAACATGGTCACAGACTCCTGAGCATACCTAGCCTCTGAGTTTGCCATGATTCTAACAAACAAAATGATATCACAGTCAGAGGACCCACTACCTTCTTATCTTTCATCAAAAATCCCACTTCCTGTCATCACACCCTGCCAGGAGAACTAGTGGAGCAATATAAACCCCAGTTAGTACTTGATTGTTAACTGGGGTCTTGCCACATGGAGCCTGTGCATTCATTCTCACAGAATCCTTAACGACTCACGAGTCTTTATCCCCACATAGTCTGGGAGGTCCCTGTAGGCAGGAACGGTGTCAGATTCATTTTTGGGTTATGAGTACACAGTATAGGGCCTGGCATATAGTGCAGGCTTGGAAATGAATAACTCCAAGGCTTAAAGCTGACACGAAAGGTAAAGTGATGGATGAAGGGTGGATAGTAGAGCCACAAGCACCACTCACCCTTCCGGTTCATCCCCATCTGGAGGCATTTGAGCAGGCGGCAGTACTGGCACCTGTTCCTCTGCTTCCGAGACATGACACAGTTCTTGTCACGGCTGCACCGATATACCCGCTTGTTGCAAATGCTCCGCTTGAAAAACCCTTTGCAGCCCTCACAGGAGATGATTCCATAGTGCAAGCCTGTGGCGCGGTCCCCACAAATGAGACAGGTTCGTTGTTCAGCCCGATCATCTGGAACAGAAACTGAACATATTCAAGTTAGAATACAGTGGGAATAATGGCTTCAAGCCTGCCGTTCTAAAACAAACAACGCTGCTCTGGATAGATCAAGAACATTACCGTCTCCAGGATAACTGACAGATGGGCATCTTTAGAACCCTTGTCCTAGGAACAGATCCCTGCAGATACCACAAATACCGCCGATCAGAAAAAAGAACTCGTGCTCCTCTCCCTCGTTTTCATCACTTGGACTAATATCCAATTCAGAGCATGGAGAAATCCTTGACTCCTCCCTCTCTTTTAGCTTTTTCAGCCACAGCTCATCACGTTTACCCTTTGCTATAGTCTTCTAAATCTTAGGAACAAGCTTTAGAATCTTTTAAAAATCAGAAACTATTCTAGTGCAGGAACTATCATATTAAATTTCATTCCTTCTAATTTTAACACTCCTGCTGAGATAAGTAAGGGTAGACGCAGAACTTGGTTAGAGTCTCTATGATGTTTTTTCAGAGGTTGGAGTCTCTATGACGTTTTTTCAGAGGCAAAAACGTCAAATCCCAAGAAATAATGAAAACGATGAATAAGGCAGTTGATATGGTTGGCCTAGAAGATTAATAACAACCTGAACCAGGTCCAGAGCCCTAGCAACATCTTTCCAGAGCATCCCTGACATACAGCTGCTCAAAGTAATGGAAGTTCCATCTCTATATTATTTAGCAGGAATAATAAGTAAATGAGAACAAAAATATTTATAAACAAATCTGGTCACCAATCTGACTAGAATTTTACAATTCTTAAGTTCTTGTTTTATAAAAGTGGAAGGACTCCTTAGTTATAACTAACCAAGGTTACATTGCAGGTTAAGTCTCAAAGAGATTATTAACAGCAACTTCTGAGACCATGATTGCTACAGAGAAAATGTTCATTTCATTTTATTGAGTGAATGGACAATCTATATAAAAGCCTAATATGCAAGGTGTCCCCTTGGGAGTTCGACCGACCAGAAGTTCGCTCGCTCGCTATGATGTGCGCTAACCACCAGGGGGTAGCGTGGAATGAAGGAAGGTCCCGGCCGTCAGCTGGCAGCTGGGGAAGGGAGGCCCCAGCCAGCAACCACTAGGGACCCCACTCGTGCACGCATTTTGTGCACTGAGCCTCTAGTAAATGAATAAAATGGTATGTGCAGGGCTTTCCAAATTACAAGTCATAACCCAGCGTATCATGACTAGTATTTTTGAAAAAAACAACAACAGAAAATATCAAAGTAAATCACATGTAGTAAGGATAAAATATTGGGAAAACTTTCTTCCAATTAAGGTGTGTACATTTGTCAATATATACATCTGTAGAAAGCTGGATCACTTCCTAGCTTCGTAGTCATGGACACATGACTCAATTCTCTAAGTCTCACTATCAACTGTAAAACAGATAATATTAGCACTCACCTCAGGAAGTTACTAGGGAATAAATGATATAGACATACAATAATAAATAATTAACATATACCTAGAGCTTATTATGTGACAAGCTTTGTTCTATATGTGTTATATATAATAATTCACTCACCCCTCATAACTCTATAAGTGAATATTACTATTATCTCTATTTTGCAGATGGAAAACCTGAGCTACACATAGGTTAAGAATTATGCCCAAGACCCAAAGCTAGTAGGCAGCAGAGCCAGAAAAAGCAGACAGTTCTGCACCAAAATCTGAAATCTTTCACACTGCTTAATATAATGCCTCAGATATAGTAAATACACAATAAATGATAGTTGTGCTATTGTTATTAAAGATAGGTTTTCTGTAAGATTAGAACCTGATAAAAATTTGCAACATTGCTATAGACAGAGCAATTCATACATTGGAATACTACACAGCAGTAAATATATTTGAACTACTGCAACAACAAAGATGACTTGTACAATGTTGGATAAAAGAAGTCAGAAAAAAAAAACTATAGGGTTCCATTTACATTAAATGAATCAAAACAAACAAACAAAAAAAAACAAGCACAGAGGGGAAAGAAACAGTGAGGCAAGTGCTGGGGTGAAGAGGAGCTTTTGGATCCTGGCAATGTTCTACTTCTTGACTTGGGTGGTGCTAGCTTTATAGTAATCCATTAAGCAGTACACTTGTGTTTTATGTACTTTTCTCTAAGTGTTGTATTTCAACAATAAAAAGGTTAAAACAAAAAGCTAGCAGGGCACTTCAGGAAAGGGAAATGACATCATCCATGGCAAAAGGAAGGAAAACGAATATAAGGAGTGTTTGAGGGAACTGCACAGGATATTATCTCTATTACAGTTAAGCAGTGAGATCTTATGGAAGAACTAGAGGCCCATGCACTGGTGGGGTCCCTCAGCCTGGCCTGCAGGGATCGGGCCAAAACCAGCTCTCCAATATCCCCCGAGGGGTCCCGGATTGCGAAAGGGCACAGGCCAGGCCAAGGGACTCCACTGGTGAACGGATCTGTGCACCAGGCCTCTAGTATGCATACAAGATCTTTGGTTAATCTCTTCCTGCCCTCCCTCGGCCGCTCTGAGATTCATCAGTCTGTCCCATGTTTCCATGCTTGTGCGTTGAGCGTCTGACCCCTGGTGGTCAGTGGGCGTCATATCTACCAGTCAAATGGTTGCTTAGGCTTTTATATACATAGACTAGTGACCCAGAGCACAAAATCGCATGAGACCCAGGATCCAGAGTCCTGCGGCTCGGCAGGACCCAGAAACCCGCCTGCCATGCCAGCGGGACCCAGAAACCCACACGCACCTCTGGTCAAGTCCTCCAGAGTCAAGTCCCCGCCCACCCACGTGCCTCGCCGTGCATGCAGCCTCACCCAACTGCGTGTGCCTGCTGCGCACACAGCTTCCTGGTGATCAGTCATTACAGCGTGACGACCACAGGCTTTTTATATATAGGATGGTCAGAGATAAGTCTAGAAAAGTAATTTGGAATAGACTGCAATAGAATTTACCCTACTCATAAAAAGCTACTGAGATCTTTAAATAGAGATATGTCTAGAAAAAAGTAAGATTAGGAATATTAATCTCACAAAGATGTGCAGGTGGATGGCATGGGCCATCTAGGTTCCAGAGGGGGATGGAGAGGAGGAGGAGATAGGAAAGTGTCAAAAATAAACTGGAGATTCTAAACCAAGGTGGCTATGAAAAATGTGGTATCACTAATAAAAAAGTTGAAAAGCAACAGCTTAGTGAGGAACAAAAATCAATGACTTTAGTTTAAGAGAGGATGATGGGTAAGTCAAACAGAAATATTCCACAGGCAGTTATTTAGGGGGCAATGGTTAAGGCTAGAGTGAAGGATTTGGGAGTCATCAACACACGGAATAGCTGAAACAATGGCAAATACTCCAAGAAGGAAGATGTGTGGAGAATCAGCAGCAGGATGAAACCTGAAACAAAGAGAAGGGAAGGGAAGAGGTTAAAGAAGGAAAGTGAGATGATATGATCAAAGAAGAAATCCTATATAATAAAAGGGTAATATGCAAATTGACCCCAACAGGAGAACGACTGGGAATGACTGGTCACTATGACACACACTGACCACCAGGGGGCAGACGCTCAATGCAGGAGCTGCCCTCTGGTGGTCAGTGCGCTCCCACAGGGGGAGCTCTGCTCAGCCACAAGCCAGGCTGACGGCTGCCAGCATAGTGGTGGTGGCGGGAGCCTCTCCCACCTCCTCAGTAGCGCTAAGGATGTCTGACTGTAGCTTAGGTCTGCTCCCTGCTGGCAAGTGGACATCCTCCGAGGGCTCCTGGGCTGCCAGAGGGATGTCTGACTGCCAGCTTAGGCCCAATCCCCCGGGGAGTGGGCCTAAGCCAGCAGGTGGTCATCCCCCGAGGGGTCCCAGACTGCGAGAGGGCACAGGCCGGGCTGAGGGACCTCCCCGAGTGCACACATTTTTGTGCACCTGGCCTCTAGTAGGTAAAATAAAAAACCATGACTATAAGAAAGATAAGGGACAAAAGTAGTTTACAAAAAAAAGAGCAGTGTCAAATGCAATGTAGGTCAAAAGTGTGAGGAATAAGAAAGGCTCAAAGATCACTACTGAGAGCCTTTTAGGCACTGGTTAAACAGGTGAGTGGTAAAGAAATAAAATTCATATTTTGAGTAGCATTGTTCCATTCAATTGATAAACATTTTGTAGGAAGCAACAGATTTAAGCATATGTTTTGTTTTGTTTTTAACTAGGAGAGATTCATGTGCATTTCAAAAAGATAAACATAAGAACAATGGCTTTTAAGGAGAATTACCTGTAATTCAGATATACTTTCAAAATAATAACTTACTTGAAAAGTAAAAGAAGTTCAAAAACAAAAAGTTAAAAAATGTAACATTTTAGTTTTTCTTATGTATTTTATTTTTATTAAGAAATAGATACGGTGTTTCATCTTGAAGGGTGTTGCTGGTTTCTGTTCTATAAGAGCTGCATTTAATACCAGTAGTTGCAAGTGACACTCATCATGGTCTCCACTACTCAAATTGATAATCACTGGGCCTGGTTGCAAAGAAAAATGCAGAAAGGATATTCAAGTAGAATCTGCAGACGTCTCGTGATTATTTCTGGTATTATATTTCTCATCGTTCATAAACTGATGGCCATTTATGACAGATACTGGGAGTCACAAGAAATCGTCACGATCCAACTAGAATTATTGAGGTGTCTCATTAACAAGGATCAAATTGATGCCTCATACTAAAAGGAGAAACGGACAGACACCAACTCAGGATGATCTTAAATTAAACCTGGATGCCTCTGGGCTTTGGGGCCTTTTTAAAGTCTCTTGAGCATTTTTAAATAGAAGTAAATTTGGACAAGAAAGGAAAGAAAGAAAGAAAAGAAAGAAAAAAGAGGAGAGGAGAGGGGAGGGGAGGGGAGGCGAGGCGAGGGGAGGGGAGGGGAGGGGAGGAGAGGAGAGAAGAGAGAAGAGGAGAGGAGAGGAGAGGAGAGGAGAGGAGAGGAGAGGAGAGAAGAGAAGAGAAGAGAAGAGAAGAGAAGAGAAGAG